TAAAATTAATTAATTTAATTATCAACAAAATAAATTAATAAAAAATATTTTTTTTCAAACAGTCAATGAAATAAAATCCTATATTATGAACTGTAATGATCTTTTTATGGATTTTTTTTTTCAATTAATATTTTTCGTTTCGATGTTAAAGTATGGCTTACTCGTCTTCAATCTTTTACCGATATTTAAATTTTTATCACGAAACACATAGAATTTCGAGCATCTTTTTTATTTCGATATGCATTACACAAATATGTAATACGGTACAGTACATAAATCATTTTAAAATATCTGTACTTTTTGCTTATAAAAAAAACGAAAATAAGAACAAAAGATTAACAACAAAAGTAAATAAGTGACCCAAATTGATAGTTAGTATCAGATAATATTGCACAGGAGTGCCAAATCATCACTTTCTAGAAGAGATCCTAATAGTAACTTCTTCTTCCAAAAGATGACAGCACGGGTCGACTCTACAAAATAAACTCCTCCTCTACAGATTAAGTTACAAAAATGATTTTCTTGCGACGTCTGACCTTTCAATATAGAATATTTAAAGTAGATTATGCCGTAGAGTTTATGCAAAATATATGAAACATAACTCGTAATTCAATAATTAATAATAATTCTGGGATGTTGGATATAAAGCCTTCTGACGACAATACACGTGCGAATTTCTATCCAAATAATGACTTAACGGTCAATATAACTGAAGATTTTTATTAACTTTTTAATTAAATATTTCACGCATTTTTCTTCATTTTTTAATACCACTCGTATTACGTATTTTTAAATTTCTTCTTTAATTTTAGAAGTCATTATTATTGGTTTAATTTTATTTAAAAAAAATTTTAATTGGCATGCAATAAAAGTTTAAAATTACAAATAACGCTTAGCATAATTAAAATGCAATTGTTTGAAATTGGGCGACTTAAAAGTGTCAATTAGAAAAACGTTTGATGCGAATTGAGAATTACATCCAATTAGAATTCGCGGATAAAATCAATTTTATCTACAATTCCAGATTTGGAATTGCGGACATAATCATCTAGAAATTCAGAATTCATCTTTCGATTTCATATTTTATGGTTACGATATTTTAAGTTTCATTTTCGAAATCTCTCGTATTTCCCCCTCCAAGTATTACCTTACAATACATTAAAAATGGGAGAAATTTGCCAACCGGGAGAGAAATACAATTTCACATCACTTGATTAAATTGAAATTGAAAAATCTCTCACTTGTATATTTCTATATATTAATAGAGAAATGGTTTATCTGAAAGAATAGAAAGATAAATTGATACAATAAGTAATGCTTTCAATTAATTAAAACAAAATATGTATTATTAATGAATAGATTAATGTAAGAAAAATTCATCATTAAATCGAAAAATAAATATACAGAGAGATGAAAAGGTAAATGAAGTAGAATTAATATAATAGAAATATGAACGTTTGATAAATTATATTTATATATAATTTTAAAAATCGTTTTTAACCAAAATTCATAAATTATGTTTGGTATGTTTTAAATAATTAGAATTGTTGAAAACAGGTTATAAATTCTACTGGAGTGCAAAGGTGACGATAAATTATAATTGAAGAAGCGCAAAGGACAAGTAATTGGATTGCTTTATTACTTGTCGGTCACGCATTTTAACTGAGAAGAAAAATATTAAAATCTGATTTAACAATTATACTAATTCATTGAGCTATATTAAGTTTAATAATGAATTATTTTAAATAAATTAAAATTGAAAGTGAAATAATGTCATAAATGTTATATATCCCAATAGAATACAGCACTAATTAGTTAATGGCAGTGATTGTATGTGTTTGTATTGTAAGAAGATAAGATAATTTAAAATTTGATTCAATTAAAATAATGAATTATTATCCGTATAAAATTTAGCCTGTAAATATTATAGAGAATAGAAAAATAATTGGATTTTTTCGTTTCATGATATTTATGATACGAAGGAATCATTAAAAAAAATGATACCGAAAACAAGTCAAATGATGACATCAAATTGCTGGAGGATGGTATTGCTGAAACGACGATAATGCATCTTTTCACTGGAAAAAAATATATAAAAAATGAATAAAACAGATCGAAAAAACATCCAAGTCATTATTTAAATAGTGATGATAATATTTCACAAAATAATTTCTGAATTTTATTATAAAAAATATTAAAATTTATAATCGTAAATTGAAAGAGCATTTTGTTAAGATAAATGCATCAGATAAGCGTTAGAGCAGTACGTAAAAATAATAACTTATATCCTAATCTTTCAATCTACCGATTGAAGATATGATACAAAAAAATAGCTAAAGTAATTTATTAAACTATGCTAAACACTTGTTATCGTCGTTACCAAGTTTTTAATTAGTTTATTACTATGAAGAGTAAACAGCGAGAGCCAAAGATCGCCGGAAGTTGCTAAATAAGGAGGAGGAAGAAGGAAACGACTGATAATTTTAAAACGGTTTTACACGTTCTAGATAGTAAAAGGGTTAATTTCAAGACAAATACATTGAGTCTTTTATACGCATTTTACTTCTTAAAAACTTTTATTTCGTCATTTTCTCAGAAACATTATCGTCTTAAATTGTGTATAAACACGTTAAAAGCTGTATTATTCTTTTCATCCGTGTCCAATTTACCGCAAAGATCGTCTTCTTCCAGCAAAAGAAAATCCTCCAGCCAATGATTTGTTTTTATTCCCGGTATTAAGTTATATTCATTTGTATGGATCGCGTTTCGTAATTTATGTATGACGTAAAAGACGTCATCTAGGGGTTGTTTTTTATGTTAGAAAGTTTGTTATATTGGAAGTTACCTATTATTATTATCTATTTAGTATTTAACTGCTGAAATATTTAGAAAGCGTTTAAATAATAATTACATTGTATTGTATTAATTTACTTAAAATTATTATCCATAAACCTTTCAAAAATAGGCAATTCTTGTGTAGACAAGTGGGAAAAATGTTCTAATTATTGAATACGCCTGTAATTCATTCGACGATTTTTTTTCTCGGAATAGTTACTATTATGTCAACAGATTATTTGTTTATTAGAGTGAAAGATCGATGATGGGCCAGATCTGAGAAAAGTTCATCATGAAGATCCAAAAGTCAGGGTTATTCTTTGATCGAGAGGTCGTCTCTCTCACACTAAAGAGACTTGAAATGTGGTTGATCTTAACAGTTTCAAGAGAAATTTTGCTTGATTCGAAGTTCACCCGACTTGGTTTACGCCGTTCTCTAATGTTATCGACCGAGTGTCTTGTTTTCCTGAACATTCTCGTCGGTGGCTCCGAGACCGGATCGGGTTTCACTTTTCTAGCACCACCCGCCGCGAAACTTTCCTGTGATGAACTTTCTTTTAGGTTGAAAGAAGCTCTTTTCCTCTACAATCGGTCGTATGACCTAATTAAAGTGTGTCGTGATATCCGGTTCCGCTACCGAATTGAAGCGTTTGGATCCTTCCGTCGTCATCTTTCGCCGCCGCTGATTTATCTATTCGGAATGAATATTTTCCGGGGAATCTCGCGGGGCACCGAGCTGTCTCGAGTATTTAGATTGAGGTTAACATCTCGGCTTCTGTTTCGTGGTCGAACGCGCGCGACCGATTCTAGGAACGATATAAACAAAAAGCGAATAGTAAACGTTCGAAAAGATAAACATTCGATGGCCTTTTCTGGAAAAAACGGAGTTCTTTCTTCGCTCGGCGGTATCCAATTGCGCGAGGTCGAACGGAGGGTTTCACCAGCCTTCGTCTGGCGGGAAGACCCGTGACGTCACAATGCAGTACTAGGAACTCCGGACGCGCATCGGCTAATTCTCGGGGTCGAGTTTCCCCGATACCAAACACGTGAAGGATTAGATTGCCGTTAAGGAGACGAGAAGTAAACATCCAGATGCGAAAGAAAGCTAGCGGGAAGCAACAACTTTCCTCTTCATGGCCAGAAGAAATGGCCCGGTAGATTCGTGCCGATACAGTCTTTGTCTTTCGAAACTACAGAACTTATTTATTTTCTTTGCATAGTCTTATAACGGAGAAAAAATGCCTCCTCACACATCTGTCGATGAGGTGGCGCGACGGCCTACGTGCCATCGACTGCGCCCCAAATGCTTCCCCCCAAGGAGGCCGGGCCCAGGGAGGAGGACCGACGTCTTGATAAGGTCGAGAGTGATCTGTCGGAGTTTATCGGGAGGCAGCTGGAAAATAGCGCGTCGTCGAAGATAAAGTAAATATAGACGGAAGACGTAGGGCTGTAATATTTTTCGATATTCCTTTCGTTTCGGTAATTTTATTGTTTGCTTCTTTATATAATTAAATTAATTTGATTTGTTTTACGAATCTCAAGATTTTGCCAGATCGTTGCCCTTCTAATCTCCTCTTTTGCAAGCCCTGTGATGAACTGACTTGTGAGGCAGATAAAAAGAAAGATGAATCACACGCGTGCGGTCTTCGCCTTATAAATGAGATGGACCTTTAGAAATTTCTGTTGATCAAACTTCGATTAATTTCATTGCTAGAGGATTCTGGTTCTTTCAATAATAGCCTATTTGGAAAATTTTATTAATAAATATATATATATAACTTTATAACATATAATAATTAAAATTATCTGAGTTAAGATTAAAGTATTTTCCGTGTTTTCATTGTATTTACAGTTAAAAATATAATATTATATGAAACGTATTAAATAAAATTGTTTGTACCCTGTATTTATGATAATAATCACTATTTTCATATTAAAATATTTGAAATAAAATTGAGTAAAACTTGTGCCTAGACTTATAGAATTTTACAATCGTTATTATTGGCTTTATTTACATATTAAATGCATTTTTATTAAGTTTATTTTTTCGGAATTTGGTAAGTTTATTTGATAAATGTCGAGAGAACGAAGCAAACTAACAAAATGCGCCGCGCCGGCTCAACTCACCACAAAGATTTTTTTCTAAATGAAATTTCTTTATTTAGATCCGGACGAAGGACACCCACCGCAAGATTCGCCCCAAAGGTAAGAGAATTTCATTGTTTTATTTAGGCTTTATACTTTTGTTTAATTCTTTCCAAACATTTGTTTTGAATATCTCCCCTGGCTCGTTCGTTAACCCGCGCTTCGTAGATACAGTAGTGTCCAGTTGATAATTATTCGTATTGAACCAATTCTAAAATATTTTGTCACCAACTTTTTAACGGTGAGGAATTCGTTTTCTATAAATTCGAAGATCGCTCTCTTCTGCGCGATAGTGGCTGGGCGCAACTGTAACGACGCGAAGCTCGACTAAACACGCAGGAAGTGACGACTGTCGGCGGTAACCATGTGCGAAACACGTGTGGTAACGGAAACACGTGGTCGAAGTCGGGGTGCCGTTCGGTGCCGAGCGCGGTCTCTACGCCAGACGAGTCGACGGATTGTGGGCGGGCGGACCGCCGAAAAACGAAAGGATCGACGGAGCTTGTGACTATCATCCCGGGATCCGCCTTGCCCGGGATCGAGGCGGTGACAACATCCAGGTGAGAAACTCGTCCCTCTTTTACTTTACTTCGGTTTTGTCATCTGTCGGCTTGGAATTGTGGAAGGCAAGCGCCGAATATTTTTGTTTCTGACGTGTTAACAGAGATTCAAACGGAAGATCTGATATGACGTTATTAACGGGTTGAAGTCCATCTTGTTAATTTTAAACTCTAAGCCCCCTCTTGACGATAAATTGCCCTTTTCGAGAATAATCCAAGCCCGAAGCAGGCCTTATAATAATTTATGTTCTAGATAACGCGTAGGCCCGCATCGTTTCGTTCCATATCCGCGTGAAAAGATCTGTAGACATTTTTAAAAATCCTCTCCTTGTTAAAAAAAAATAAAATTGTAATTGTAATTACGAAGCTGGAGAAACATTCCAATTTCGTTAAACACTGGAAACAATAAGTTTGCTACTGTCATAACTAAATGTTGTCAGTGAGATTTTTTTGTTACGGGTGCGCTGGCCGACTGTATTGTTACGGAACTCCATCACAATTGTCGGTATTCTAAGAAATAGAAGGGGGGAAACTATTCGTGAACGTTACAAAATGTTGATATCATAACCGAAGTTACTTATGTGTAGGTCCACACTTCATCTCGATCGCCACTTCTCGGCCGTTGACGTTTACCAGATTCGTTTCGTCTGGCTTGATCTATATATATAGAGTTTAGTTGCTGGCATTCGGTTCGGAGTTATACTTGGAAAATTGTTAACCCTGCTCTATTTTCGACCTTAGTCTCCTGTCGGCGAGTTTAACAAAAACGTAACTGTTATGCTAGCGGATCGATAATCGAGAACTTTCCTTTGTCAGGTCGGATTGGCCCGCAATCTATAGATTACTTATATTGCTTGTCCCAAGTGGAATAAATATCGATAATTTTTAAAACCCCGACAGATGGATTGGTTAATTATATCGTTCCCCCATTCCTCTGTTTACCGAAACTTTGACATATCCACTAACGAGAGTGTGACGTCAGAGATAACTTTCCATTCGACCGTCCGTCAAAATGTTTTCCACCCCTCAGATTTTCAACATACTCTAAACATCGGTTTCAAATTAAATCTTTAATCACTTAACGAAATTTACAATGGATTATACGCCATGGCATGGATAATGTAGTGAGAATCACTGTTAACGATACGTTAAATCATTATTAATTTGAAAATAAGTTGATCTATTAATAAAAATAACTTGATTATAATACTATTTTAACTTAATTTTTCTTCACCTTTAGACGTTTATTTAGAGAATGAATAATAGTAAATGCTCTGTCATTAATTAATGTATCTTCTTAGTCACGAGAGAGATAACAGTTCAAATTTATTTATTGCCATTTGAATGATTGTAATTCAAACATCTGTTTCTTATTCCACTCAACTTCCTTATTTATTTCAGAAGACAAATAATATTAAATAAGAAAATATCACAAATATTTGTAATATTTTCCAATAAATTCAACGATATCTGTAAGAAATAATTCTCTTATTAAGTCGTTAAATACATAAAAACATAAAACTGTACCATTTAATATACAAAAAAATTTTAAAAAACAAGAATTTTGAAGAATGTATTCGAAAATATAACACAGTCCATTCCTTATTTAGCAATATTTTACTTGTTATAAAAAAGAGAAAGTTAGTTAAATAAGAAAATGCTCGAAAATAGAAACAACGAATTAAAAAAAAAAAAGATGCACAAAGTCGAGTCTTTTTACACTTTGACATATCTTTGACGAGAAGCCATTAGGAATGTCTCTTATCTAGTTGTTTCTTGGATATTCTCGTTTCGTTCCTTTCGATCCTATAATCTTCACCTCTGATTAAAATACGAACTTTATCTTTGATTATCAGCGAGAAGGACACAAGTGTGATTCGGATGAATTATTAGCATAGACTTATATGTTCTTGTTAAAAAAAGAAATGAATAAAGAGCATATAATAAATGGCCTATTCTGTAATTTTAATTTTTATATATCTTCTAGGTGTTTTGTAGTTATAAATCTTACATAATCTTAGACAGTGCCATAACTAGGAAGGTGCAACTGATATACAGGCACAAGAATCAGGTAGAAGGGGGATCTTCGAAATTAGTCAAATATAGGGAAAATATAAAAATGTAAAAAACTTGAATATGAATATTATTAGGCTAATATGTACTTTTTATATTATTATTGTAAGTATTGTAAAATGATTCATATAAACATTTAAATAGTGGTCTATTATCTGTGGGTCAACCTAACTTTAGCAGTTTAATGTTAATTAAAAAGAATAACTTTAGTAATTAACCGTAGAAATATCGAGTTGATAGGTTTTTTTACTGTATTTGTTAATGATAGCTTACTACGACTATTGAATATAAAAGATCTGATTTGCATTGAACCCCCCCGAAACTTTTGATGTAGGTGTTTCAAATTTTCGATTGATTAACTCCTGTCTACTATCGATATTAATGTTCTGTATTTATTAATTAATAAAGGAGCCTTAAACATAAAATGTGCTTTATATTCTCGTAGCTTGAGTGACTTAAATTCTTCGTCGTAAATATGCTGTTGTTATCGCAAATACTTTTAATGATGGAAACTTTACGAATAAAGGACAATGCTTAAATATAATATATATATATAAGGTATATTAAAAAATAAATTTTAAATGTTATTAAATACGTAAATTTAATCACAAAACGGAATGTTTTGGTTGAAAATTGTCCTTAACACACTGGATATCGACCTAGACCTAGATTACGCACATTTTCTTTAATCTGGAGATCGATTTCGTTAGTTACGTGTCGCCCGTTTCTCAGGATGTCCTTCAAATTTTTTGACTACATTACGTCACCAGCGTACTCTATTGTGTCGTCATCAACTCGACAGTTTTATAGGTCTAATGGTTAAAATTAACCAACAGATGTAACTTGATAAATTTGAACACTGAAATATGCTATAAAATTGTCAAGTAAAAGCATTGAAGAATTTTTCTGGTGTTGAATAACAAGATAATAGTTAATTTTATTTAAATACGATTCGGTTATTTGTTTTATATTGTCGAGGAACTTCGACTGTTGGAAGTTATGTCTTGTTAATAGAAGACTGTTTACTAAATAGCACTTAAATTAGTTTTTTTTTAAAGTTTAATTAATGATGATTATGCGAATTTCGTAAATAAATGGAGAAGACACTTTTAAGTAGTCAATATTATCGATAACACATCGTTCGAGCGTGTTAAATAAATTGGACACGTTAAGAAGATAGGTCTTATCGACGGTAGTATAAACCGGTTAGAGGTATTAGAAACATCATTCTGTCGTGATAATAAAAGTTTATAGGTCTAACTATTACATTGAGTCAGAAAGTCTCGCCTTTCTACAGAGTACTTGTCGAAGGATAGTCTTGGCCCCTCTATTATTAACGTTAATTATCTTTTCAATATTTTGTAGAATGTAATTTTAAATAATTTAGATGTAGGCTAATTAGTCTAAATATGAATTTCTATATCCTTTCAAAGCAAAAATTACAACTAAAACTTAGTATTTAGTTTTTTTATATGTTTAATTTTTAATGATTTAAAAATTTCAGAGAAAATTCTTCTAATTGTATTATCGAAAACGTTAATCTTCATTCGGGTGTCTCCTTTACATTTCGCAATTTGCAAACAATCAGCTTTGTAAATGTAAAATTAATAGAGACAAATTACATTAAATTCCAGAAAAATGAATAAATCATATTTATTTCTTATAAATTATCGAATAAATTCATTCTATGAGTTTACAATAGAAAATAACAAAATCTTTTCAGTTGAGGTGTATATAGAGATAAACATTAAGGAAATAAATGTATATATTTATACTAGATCCCAGACTTATATAATTTAAGATTTCCCTAATTATCGGGATATTAAAAAGTACAAATATTTGTAACTTAATCTAATTAAATTTGTAAAAATTAGTTTTGACTTTTGATCAGAAAACCATAGCTTCTACATTAAATATACTGTATATACTTAACTTATATTACGAGTTAAAACGTTAGGGATTATTAATCAAAAGAACTTGTATATCGATCAATCTAAATCAGTTAATATTGAAGTAATCTTGTATTTATGTTTACGAACGAAAGTAGTAGGCCTGATGCTGTCTGCTCTGATAGAACTATCTAAACGAAAGTTGACGTCATCGTTGGTAGGAAATTCGGTATCCAAAATGCATTACTTCATCGAGGCACTGACAGCGAAGTGCGGGTGCCCGACCAGACAAAATCCAGATGTTTTTGTACAGTACAGCGATATCGATAATGAAAATTAAGACGAAACAGATCTCTCTTCTCCATTTCTCGGCTACAGAATTTTGAGTAGACGTAAGCATATTTCACTTTATTTTTTATCTAATTCATTTACATTCCAGACTTACGCATTAAAAGACTGATAGAATAATAGTTTATTATATAATTTGTATAAGTTTCGACCCAACGAAGAACGGATTTATAATTTCTCGCGATCTGTT